TGTGTTTGTGTAATATTGGGTCTACACTGCCAGAAAACTGGTAACATTTCCTGCCTTTAGCCCGAGTTGGTGTTTTCCCTTGGAAAGGGATCTCAGTTGACTTCTCAAAAAAAATCAGCTCCTATGTCTAAAAAACCTAGAGCCAAGACCCCAAATAATATGTTCTGCTTGAGATAAAGAAAGAGAGAGCATTATTCACCAAATAAACCATGTTTTGGCAGTGTGGAAGTGATACTGTAGCTGTAATGAACCAGAAAACATGAGGGGCAAGAATTTTTGTAGAGCAACCACCAGGTTTGGATAGAAATAACCAAGCTTGATTATCACAGTACTCTTCCTTTCAGTCTTGAACAGTCTTTCCCAGGCACCTGGGGAAGGGTACTGTGATACCAAAAAGCTTGTCTAATAGGGCTGGGCAAAGCTTTGCTCGCCGATTTGATTCAGCAGAGATTTGGCCTAATTTGGTGGCCGAACGTCCAAATCCAAATCAAATCAGGACATCCTTTAATCCAGGGGTGTCCAACCCTTTTGAATGTGGGGTGAAATCATGAACTTTTTAATCACCCGGTGGGCCGACGAGTCATATTCAAAGACCTCACAGGAAGCGGTGAAATTCAGCAGGTGAAATTCTATGGCCGGACATCAGACCGGATGAGACAGAATCTTACAAGAGTGCCACAGAACTTCCCGTCACTTCCACCTTTAATGGGGTCCTTTCAAGTTAGAAGAACAAATCTTCTTGTGGATGCACAGGATGGATGCACAAAGCTTCTAATGGATGCACAGGAGGAGCCAGGCGAGGGCCATGGCGCTGCAGCCCACACATGCTGGGCTCTACATGTGGAGCAGCTGCTGGGCAGGGACCCAGGCTGCCCAAGCCCCCCGCCCCGGCAGACCTTGCAAGTCCTCCCGGCGGCTCCCAGCCTGGAGCCAGCAAAAAAGGGGGGCTTCCTCTGCCGGGGAAGGGAAGGAGAAGGAGGCAGAGCAGGCGGAGGTGGTGCAGTGAGCCCAGGCCAATGCCATGAGCTCACACAGGGACCTGAGAGCCGGGCACACGGCAGTGCCCAGGCAGCCCCCAGCTGCAACTTCTCCGCCTACCGCCGGGAAGATGAACCACACAGGTGAGCACGGAGCAGGGCAGGTGCAGGGGCCCCAGGATGATGCTTCCTTCTCCCTCGCCACAGCCCCAAGGGGCAGAGCCAGGTGCAAGCAGCGATTTAGCACAGGGGAAATTGACCAGGGAGGGCCTGGGGGGGGGGGTTGTCCCCCCTTCTCTCGAGCACCTGTGCCCAGCCGGGCTCCGCATGCTGCCCGCAGCACTGGCCGGTGCAAGTTCCAACCAGGACCGCACCGCGCCGCACTAGTGACCAGCGCTTTCACTGCCGGCTACTCCTCTTTCCACACACACCGCGTCAGCAACATCAAGCTGACATGGTGCGTGTGGGAACCTTGTCCCTTCACCAGCCCTTCAGCAGCCATTAGGAAGCTGCTGAGGGGCTGGGGGAGGGACAAGGGGTGGGAACAAAAGAAAACAGTGTTTACTTTCATTTCCCAACACAGCACCTCGGGCCTCAGAAAATGGCTTGGTAGGCCACATGGCGGCCCGCGGGCCATATGTTGGACAAGCCAGCGTTAATCTTTCCAAATTGAATCTACATACCTCAAGATACCAAGCAGCTCGTGAATGCTGAGATGGTGGGGCAGATGGAGCATCCCACAGGAGCATGGCGGGGGGGTCCCCAGCACACCCAGAAATGGACCAGAAGAACTTCCGGTCCACTTCCAGGTCCACCGGAGAGCACATGGGAGACCCCCACACCCCAGCTCGGCAACTAGTGCCTCCTGGGTCTGGGGCAGTACCCAGGTTCCCGCTGTGGCTGATCACTGAGCTGGGAGGGCACAGGGTAGGTCCCCCTGTGAGCTTGGCGGCAGACCCAGAAGTGGACCAGAAATACTTCCAGTCCTCTTTCAGGTTCACTGCCGAGCACATGGGGGTCCCCCCCGTGCTCCTATGGGATGCTCCACCTGCCCCACCATCTCAGCATTCACAAGCTCTCCCTGGAACCTCAAGGTACGTAGAAAAAAAATGTAAAGCTGTGTCTACGTCCAAATGAATCACCATCGAATCTTCAGATTCGGATTCAGCCAAATCAAATTGGGACAGTGATCCAAATCAGCTAATCACTGTCCCCTATTCAGGTCAAATCTGAATGGAGTGTGACCTGTTTCGCACACCCCTATTTTCTAAGTTTAATCTCAACCATGCATTTGGTCCAGTAAAAATGTATCTTGCACAAAAATTGTTGCCTCAAGAAAATCAAGCAAGGTACAAGGAAAGACCTTGTTGTCAAGAACATGAACCATCTACAGCTTCTCACTGGTACCACCTGGGATGGGAGATGCTCCGCACTCCTGAAAGTTAGGTCTGACTACCTTTTGTTGACATCAATTAAGGTAGGATGGGACCATTAAAAGTACACATGTTATCCATTTCATTTACGAGTTTAGTTAAATTCAGCTAATTTTGATTGCTTGTTTTTAATCACTGAAATTTCTTTCCCATTTCCCCCATTCTACAATGCTTATGCCCCAAATGCAAGCATTTGGATATTAGCCACCTCTGCAATCAATATTCCCCTTCCTCCTTTTAATGCGACTAAGATCCGTGTTTTGACCAATAAGATCTTAGAACTGTTGATATAAACACTTGTATATAGAAAAAAAAGGCTTGCCTACACAACACTAAAGTGCTGTATTATAAGACAGAAATAAAATTAAACTGTTAACACAATGCAGAAATCTTCTCAACCCCTGACCAGAAGCAATACCTTTCTATACAACTATCAACTGGCCAATTTTTCTGACGAGTCTAATCCTCCCTACCAAGCAACAGTCTTTTTGAAACTTGCATTCCTTCCACAAAAATGGTTGTTAAGAGACAAAACAAGCTTCTTGCAGTAACTAATATGTTTGCTATCATGAAGCATAAAATTCCTCTCTGCACTGCAGTAATGTCAGGTTTTAACACAAGTGGCATTTGTCCAAGGAGGATGACAAATATTTCTCTGCTGAAAACTACTTCAACCACTGCCCCACGACACCCCTACTAAATACACACTCACTTAAGCCTAGGAAATGCTGTGAACATATTTTCTTGTGTCATACTATAACCACTAGTATACAAGGGTTTCAATGTACAGTAATACCATGGACACTTGATATATGATATATCAGCATGTGAACTGTATTTCTACCATGGCTCAAACAAGCAACAAGGGAACCTTATCCTTTCTCTTGTCATTTCTGTCCTTAGTTTTAATTATAACAAGTTACAACTATCTTTCTCATCCTGAGCTGATTTTTCCCCTTGAAGACTGTTTTCACAGTTAACTAGTCCACCTTCATTCTATCCACTGCAAAAAAGCAAACAATGTTACTGGCCCATGTCAAATGACATAAGTTACTCTAATGAGTACAGATTTCTGACATTTTCTTCATAAAGCATCCTACCATCTGTTTACTCCCTCCTGCCTAAAACAGTCTCCCGCCTAGGAAGGAGCAAAAATTCAAGTGACAGCGTGTTCAGAGGTTTTTGTTTGTTACACACACACACACACACACACACACACACACACTACATTTTTAAGGCAAGATTGAAAGCAGAGCACCATTCAGTTTATTCTCAACTACTTAAAACATTTCAAAAGTATTACTTTTCAAATCAGACATAATTAAAAAAGAACCTTCTCAGGATCCCCTATTACTATAAAGTTCAAACATATAAATAGTCCTTCTTAAAGTATATGCATTCACATTTTTAAAAAGCCCACAAACACATACACCTTTAAGAACATTTTGAAGAGAAGCTACTGAAATTGCATATCACCCTGTCAGAGAAGCACTGATTTCTGCCCATGATGTGGCTGAACAACGTTCTCCTCAGAGTCAGTAGTGTGCTACAAATTTAAGAGTCAACAGTATTTACAATTCAAAGTATTTATTACCCATTCTGTTTTGCTATCTCTTACATATTCCATATCAGAACCAGGCCTTCAAAGTTTACAATGGATCAGAGAATGCTGGTTTTAAACTTACCTTAGAAAAACAAGACTCTAACAAGTTACTTTGAACTGTTCATTTTTACAAATATATTTAAGGCCTACTCCTGCTGAAGTCAATGGAAATAAGATGACAAAGTCTTCTCTGAAAACTATGGAAGAGAGTTCTTTAGCATACAAAGATGTTTCTCCTTCAATTAAACTGAAAAATTCAACAATACAAAGATATACCCTTATGCAAAAGCCCAATAAAAATACTTAATAAGGAATGAATTAGGTAGAGTTCTATCAAAACTACTGTAAAATTCTCTGTGGTTTAAAAGCAATCATGTCCTATCAAAAGCCCTATGAATTCTACACATTAAAATAAAATGACAGTTTTAAAATTACTTTAGGATCTCTTCAAAAGGATAGTTTTAATAGATCAAGTCCCACTGCCTAAAATGAATTCATCAGATAGTATATCACTTACCCATTTCGAAAGACAATATTCCACAAAGTTATAGGAGAATGAGGTGAGAAACACAAAATTTACCCGTAACGTGGCTAAGGATGAAACAGTACTGGACTCATTCTCTGTGGAATTTTTCTCCATAGATACATTTTTCTTCTTTTTCAGCAAAGAGCTAATAAAACTATTATCTAGATTGATGTCAAAAGGTTTTTGAGACTCACCTGTTTGTTATTCTTCCAAATGCGTCCAAAGCTGAACAGCAGACAAACCTTGCACATAAAATGCATTTTGAATGCTCCTTGAATGCAGAACATGCATGAATTCTTAAACAGTGGCAACATATAATTTGGTAACAGTTAACAGGTCTTGACATACTGTTACCCTAACCCAGCATACAACAAGTTAAAATATTTCTCTTTTGGAGATCATACAAATATACTACTCATACTATACCATATTGTACTTACAAACACATTTTTACCACATACCTTAGCAAGTTGAAACTAAGGTCTAGTCTTTTTGCCATATGCCCATATTTTCTTCCTATAAATTCGGGAATTTCTTCACAGTCTTGGCCAATAAAAGATACCTGAGAATTGAATAAGCCAAAAAGGATAATTGGCAGCTTTCATACAGCTTCTTACTTACTTATCCAATGGCAATGCAAGCAACATAGTAACTTTCACTTCACCCTTTCAAGCCACATAAGCTTCAATGGTATGGAATCTATCAGTCTCTTATTTCTCTTAATAGTTATTTATTGCAGGGGTGCCAAGCTTCCTTGGTCCCTGGGCCAGATTCAGACTGAGGGGCTCCTTGCCAGCCAGATAGTAAGGAACCTTGCACATGGGATCTAGACCTACCTTCAGCAGCGGGGTAGGCAGCAGAAGTGTTATTGGCCATGGATTACTAAACCATTGGGATTAATACACCCACCACTTACCCCTCCACTGCTGACATGCCTCCCATAGGAGATCCATACACCAGAATCTGGCAGTGGGCCCCACCCCTATAGTTCCCGCCCCTCCTGGAGCCCTGCAGGAAAAATTGAGCCAATGGCTTGGATGACTGACACCCCAATTTATCGCATTCATAGCCTCATGTATATAGGATTGGGATTTTCTGACTTCAGATGAAAATATTTTTATTAAAATAACTATGAATGCAGTAACTTAACATTAAACAATCAGCACTACTGAAAATATTTTGGCCTACATTTTCAAAAGCAAATAGTGATTTTTGATGCCTAGTTTAAGATACCCTAAAATGGGCCATTTTCAAAAACTGTACCAGTTTCAGGTGAAAGACAGGCATTGGAGTCACCTGGAAGTCAGGTGCCAAGTTGCTCCCAAATTCAAGGTTTTAAAGTCACTTCTGAAAGTTCAGGTGAGATCTTTTCAAAATAGTCTACAAACGATGAGTCCTTGTAACATCTGTTGAGATTGGTATTATCTCTTTCCACATAACAGAGATAGAGCAGAAAGTTTTGAGCAAAAACATCCAAGGGCATTAAGGATACAAGCATTTCTGTACGACCACATCAGAAAAATTTCACAACTTTCAATTCCCAGCCTCCAGTTCACAGTTTACATAACCTCTATCCTTTTGGAAGTTTTTAATGTTTTAATATGTATTAGGATTTTTCTCTCAGCCACGTTGAAATGGTAGATAGCTCCAGAAGAGTGACATTCATCTATTCTACTACACACTAAAAAATTGCAGTTCATGTTTTGAGTCTTCCAGGAATCTCCACTGAAATTAAGGCCAGGATTGAGAAATAAAAGCTGTAATTAATTCTACATCTATGCCAGCTCATTTCTCCAGTAAACTATTTGCACTGAGGTGAGCCTGAAAAAAAACATCAATACAATTATGAAAAATATAAAAGCCAACTTTTTCAGTGCAGCAATTATCCTTACTGACAACTTATTACTTACGTGCATATCACTATTTTTAATATTGAGCAAGAAAACTTTGAGTCCACTTTATTACTAGCCTATAAAATGCCTGTGTATCCAAAATTCAGATAAGGAACAAACAAACAAGTCATTCAGGTTCTGTTTTGAGAATATTTCATGTGTTCCAAAACATGAGCTACCCTACAAGAGAACTTGCCATTGTATTCCTCACCTTCACAAATCATCCCCTTGTCTCATCCACTCTTAAAGTGATGGCAATCAGATAATATAAAATTGCACCCCCTTTCATTCATTCTTGTTCAGTAACTTCCACTAAGAAAGAGAAAGCTGACTACAGTAAAATATTTTTTCCCCTTTGAATACACAAGATGAAAAACAGGGTGTTCAAAGTTCAGTCCAGCAATTTCTTCCCTCTTCTTCCTAAGAGGCATCTTTCATCACAGCTCTTCCAATAAATTCTGCTTCCAACGAACACGCTTACCTTTCACAACTACGAGGAAGAGGAAAAGAATTTTTGTTGGATAGCTGACATCCTAATGACTTGGAAATAGTGGAAACCTTCTTTTAAAAAAAATCAATATCATTTTCCAAGTATACATCTTACTTGTATAATGGTTTTCATCCCCATGGACTAGAGAGCACTTTACACGATGCACACAAATACATTAATCACTCAATCCACCACTGAAAAGTAACCATTTCTGGGGTGAAACGCATGGTAAATTCAAAGCATCTCTGTACTGCTCCAGGAAGTACCACAGTGAGGCACTACCTGCCCACCCCATTATACATGTAATGTAGTGCAGGGCTGGACATGCACCAATAAGCATGCTGATTTGGCTTTACTTGTTCCCATGCTCGTGCCTTACTAACATGGCTACAGGACATCTACTCTGGGGTACAGAACATTCAGAACATGCATCTTGTTCTTCATGGGGGTACTCCCTGGCACAGTATGAAGAAGACATGGACCTGCCCTTACAGCACAGGTATACAACATATGGCCCACCAGAGCAATCCCACTGTCCCAACAAAATTCTCCATTAAACTATCCAGTTAAATGAAAAATTATTTGAAAAGCAGAATAGCAAGTCCTATAGGGCAATTCATTTCTCTCTGTGGGTGCTTACACGCTAGGCCTCTGTAGGTGCTTACATGCCTGCAAAAATGCTGAAGGCTTGCATCCCATTAGAGTGGAACCCATTAATGGCAGCCCTCCATTGCCTTGCAAATAGCCCTCAGTGAAAGCTGGGATTGTGTATCCTTGCAGATACTCTTGAATCCAAGGTCACTTCATCCGATGCATCATTCAACACAGCATCTGATGACATTATCTCAAACTCTTGAAAGCTTATTTATGCATCTCCAATATTTAATGTCAATCTACTATGGGCAAAGTGTGAACTTAAACAAGCCCAACACACACACTTCCAACTCAATGCAAATTAACAGTATAAAAGCGTATAAAGTACCATTTTCAACTACTGTGACTTCCTTCGGAGCAAGTATCAGCCTTTGAGTGCTGGCCCCTTCAGCAGCCCACAACTCCCGAGCCTGAACTCCTCCATAGGCCACCAGAACCAAAATGTGATTGTTTCCAGACACCACTGCAATACCTAGATAGAGTAGGACCCCCCTATGAACACAACTTATTCCTCAGTGTTTTTTCCTAGTCAATCGGACAGTTACATAGGTATGATTATCAAAGCTCAACAAGAGCAAGGGGGAGTGGAGTACACACAGGATTGATAAGCAGAAACAGAGATATCCATTTTCTAGTTCAAGCCCCATCCAGCCTGATAGTAACCACTAGCAGTTGCCCTCTGGCACATGTTAGATGCTATATGTGAAATGACATGAACTTCTGAAAAGACCTGGACCAATTCTAGTAAGCCTGAAATAAAGTGCTGAACTGGGTAGGTCACATGGTATCTGATGAACATTTCACACCACTGTAGCTATTAGTAAAACTAGAAAAAACTGATATTCTTTGAAACAGAAGTTTTTGACATTACCCAAATTCACATCTACCTCTTTCCTTACATAAATTCAGAGTTAGAAGGTATTACCCAATTTACATAGGCTGGCTTTCATGGTTTTACAGTGACTTTTGTTTTAAGTAGCAACACTATTCACAATGCAGCATCATTAATTTCATAAGGCATGTTCCCAAAGTGGAATATTTAAGAAATTTTGATACAATACATTTTGCACACCCAATTACAGACTCAGCAAGCTTCAAACCACAAGACACATGGCCACATTAAGAACCCACTGGACTTCAGAAGGGATAAATTCAGCCTCTGGCAAAGGAAGAATCTTACAAGCAACGCTATAACATGCCACAGCAACCACAGGAACCATTTCCTACGGCAGCTACATAGTTAGTTAACTGTTCTCACAACCAGCTATTGCTAGGCTCCGTACAAGTATATAATTAAGGAATTCCATGTAAAGCCATGATTATTTTAGAGTAGCATTCATGGTGCATCAGTCCAGCATTTTTAAATAAATATCAGCTTGTAAGGGGGGAAAAAGATTTTGTTTCTGTTCTTAAAATAAAGCTAGGGGTCCAACAGTAGGGAAACTGATTCTGAAGTGAAGATTTGTAAGGACAGATGGGAAATCTGGGTGTTTAAGTCCCATAGAGGAGTAATAGGAACAGGGTTCCTTCCTGCCCTTTATGCCTTTAAAAAGTCTCCACTCTAAGCAAAAGCAGAATATTATATAATGAAAAGTAATTAGTTCCTTTCCTAGAAGTAACCATAATTAATTTTAGTCTGTTCCTCCTCCCCCTCATTTTCATTCAGTCTTTAAAATTAATATTTATAAAAAGTCATGGAAGTGAAGTCCTGTATCTACTTGTAAGATTGTATATACAATAAGTAATAACAGTTCCAGCCTTCTTCCTTTATCCACAGCTCTTCAGTGAGATTTAACCTCTTCAAAAATCAATGTTACTCAGTCTTCTCAGCATAATCAACAGGAACCTATCTATTTCAGGCACATAGGAATGGCTGTGGGGTTGTTTTGGTCTGGTTTGGTTGTTGAGGTATAGACATAAGGAACGGATTCTCACCTGGCATCAATTGCCTTAGCCTCTCAGAAGTTAGTTAAACTAAAACTAGTGACACGAGCTGAGAAACAGGTTCTCATCTCAGCAGAGGTGCAAGTTAGGAGTCATTTCATTACAGCAACGGAAACAAAGCAACAACAAAAAAAAGGCCTCCTTCTATTAGGAACAAGTACAATACACTTCAGGAGGCCCCAGTAACATTGGACAATAATATTCAGCCACCATCAACTTGGTAGAATGCGAATCCACAACCTAATTATTAACACGCTTGTCTCTTGGATGGAAAGCTCCACACAAACTCATTCCAAACCCCCAAGCTATCCAGGCAATATCCTATTCAAAGCTTGACAAAGAGCACAGAAAAGGGAGGTTTGAAATGACTTCAGCATCAAAGATCTGAGGCATGCTCAGCAACACTTATGTGTTTCCTTTTTGTTGTCTTGGGCCACACAACAACATTTGTGAAGAAAATAGTGAAGCATGGGAATGGTACTACCGATACAGAACTGCCTTCAGCCTGAGAGCAAGAAAGGGGCCAGCACAGCATACAGCTACCCTGAAATGGTTACTCATCATGTTTTAGAAGACTATTTCACTGTATGGAGAAGTGGCCAGAAAAACCATTTGAAAGGCAGCAATTCGCTGTCTTCATTTCACAAGAGCTGCATGTGAGGGACGGAGGGAAACTTCTCTCTTTCTTCCCTCAAGCAAACAGTAAAACAGTTTAATGCAAACAGGCAAACAACATCCACCTCTCAATCTGCAGCATGTGCCTAGTGCTTCCAATAGAAATCAATTGCAAAACATATTGATTGGGGAAGTGCAACAATTAAAAAAAAAATCAGTGGGAATTTGTAGCTCTTTTAAGCCTGAGCAGAAATAAAAGAAATAAGCATCTCTAGGACCAGCATCCAGTGTCTCCAACAGAGATAGCAACTCTGCTCACCAGAGTGTTTCTGCTAAGAAAAGCTCTGATACGTCCCAAACTGATATAATGCCCAGCCAAAGAAGTGACTGAAGTAATGGGGTTTGGGTTTCTTTCTTCCCTAGAGCAAGTGCCATTCCCTTCCCCCAAGCAAAGCATTATTGCCTACAAGGACTCAAAACAGTTACAAACTACCCTCTGGGGCTACAAACATGTTCATCTTCCAAGCATACTTCCCCTCCCAACTTCCCATTGCCTTCGGGGCCGAGCTGCCCAGGAGGAGGGGGAGAGGGAAAGTGCCTGGGGCTGCAGGTCGCTGAGGGGAGCCCGCAGACCCAGGCAGAGCAAAGCAAAGAAGGAAGCTGGTCAAGCCAGGAGGAAGGGACCATTCGCTCAGCAACAAGAAAATCTTTATTAAAAAGCAAAAGAGTGGTGCGAGGTGAAGAGGGGCCGCAGAAATCAAGAGATGAGGCTCTTTTGGGGGGTGGGGGGGGCAAATCCCAGGCAAGGGGCTTTCACCAGGTAGGAATAAATATGCGCTGAGAAGACAGAGCAGGAGACAGACGTGTTACAAAAGAGAAGGGGGGCGAGAGAGACCCACCAGACGTGCTAGTGCTGCTGCTGCTTTGCAGAGCGCCGGACACAGGCACTTACTTGAGCTCCGTTTACCACGGCCCCTGCCATCGCTGTCACCACACCAGCTGCAAGCAAGGAGGGCGCGGGGTACGGGGCGGGCTACCTAGCTGCAGGGCTTGGGGCAAGCAGTGGGGACGTGCTTTGGAGGTGCCTTTCATTCACTGCCTCTGCCGAGGCCTCAGCCGCGGCCGCTTCCTCGCGGCAGTCAGCTGATCGCGGGCGGAAGCGCGAGCCCTGGAAAGCCGCAGCCTTGTGCGCGCCCCGCCCCCCAGGGAGAGGGCGCGGGCGCTCTGGGGGGCGCCGGCCACCTGCTGCGCGCGTCCGCCGTGCTGAGCTCGGGGCCGGGGCCGGACCAGAGAGCTCCTGCTCTTCTCCGCCTCGATCTCTGCCAGCGCAGGAGAAGCCCCCGCTGCCCCCGGGGAGGGGGGTGGGGAGGGCGGGTGAGGCTGTCCACGCTCAAGGCACTATCTTGAGCGTAAATCTGGCTTTGCTGGAGAAGTGCTGAAACATCATCCCGCGGGTGAAGGCCGTGCCCTACAGCAGCTGCCCCGCGATGGTTCTGCCGTCCTGGGGGCGCGGGGACATGGCTCACAGAAGTTTGCTGGAGGCTTTTGCATGTCACCAGAGACCCCGGCTGCACGACCTCTGCGGTGCCGAGGGAGGCTCAGCAAGCCAGTTTTCAGAGGGCTCCACAACTTTCCCAGGAAAATCAGGGCTGACGCCTTCCAGGCTAGTTTCAAGCAGTGAAATGCCAGACTGAGGGAAGGGCAGTGCCATCCTCCCCCACCACCTAGCATCTGTTGCATGTCAGGGCTGAGGAAGCCTGGCACTCTCCTGACCCTCCAGGCCAGAGCCACCTTTTGGGGCTTTCCTGCTGCTCTCTGTTTAGGGCAGTCTTTAGGCTTCGCTCATTGGTACCACTGGAGCAAACTGGCTCTTAACCAGCCCCCTAAGGAGGTGACCATACATCTTTCCTTCAGGTGTTTTGCCAAGCTGGTATGTTTGCTGACTTTGAGGCATCCTATTAATATGAAATAATAACACCATCCTTCTGCAAAGAGGTAATTGGTTAGCTAAGATTCAAGATGGGGAAGAATCGGGATATTCAAGGCTGTAAACAAGCATTTCTACATTTAGCTCCTTCTACTAAATCAGTGGTTCCCAAGCTAGGCGTTGTGACGTTTACAAGTAGAAAAATAAACCCAACCGAAATTCAGGAGCAGACAAGGCTTGAAGCTAGAAATCGAGTAACCAGGTGAAAGGTGTGTGAACCCCTGCACTAAATGAAAAGTTCTCCATCAAGAGCTGTTTGCTAGTTCAGACTTAAAGCAAACAGTGCCTTAATTTATTAATAGGGTGCTACAAAGTCAGAAAACAACATGTCAAGAAGAACTACTACTATAACAGCTATAAGTTGAAACAAAAAAACAGCCTAGGTTCTCTCCTTACTGTATGTATCCTTCTCTCTCAGGGGAAGATTTTGTGTGTTAGTAAAAAATATGTCTTTCTCGTTAAATTCAGTTGATGCAAGATGGTCCCTTGCTATTATTTGTATCCCTGTTTCTAATGGGTCAAATTCTGTTAATTTCTATATGTAAATCTGTAGTAATTTTGTAAAAAAAAAACAATAGTTACTTTAACTTTACATCTGTGTACGTAAGCCAAATTGGGCTCATTATTTTCTGTATTATATATATAGACTACTATACATCACATTACAGATGTGCATGACAGAAAAGATGTGTGGGTTGAAAAGTTTATAAAGTAACATAGATAGTAAATAGTTTAATTCTTTCATTCTGACTTGCATTGCATAGTACACGGTACGTTACACTGTAACTATTCCTACTAGGGCTGTGCAACACGGCACCGTTCTGTTTCAACTTGCGTTGTGGCATTTCATTTCAAATTTAGTTTCGATACGGAACTGCTGTTCCATTTCATTCCACTGAAACGTTTCAACGCTGTTTCAACATTTCGCCCATAGGCTTTAATGGGGAAGCTCAAAACAGCCTATAACTTTGTCATCTCTGGACTGATTTGGATTACACTTGCAGGAATGATAGCCCCTTCTGAAGACGTGAAGTCTGCCAAGTGTCAAGGAGATAGGTGTAGGGGTTTCAGGGAAACTGCACCCCAAAGTCTTGAAAGCAAAAAACCTCACGTCACATGTATGTCTTAAGCCACAGTGGGGTCAAAACTGCACACTTGCTAGCCCCTGCTGAGGTAACGAAGCCTGCCAAGTTTCAAGGAGATAGGTGTAGGGGTTTCAGGGAAACTGCACCCCAAAGTCTTGAAAGCAAAAAACCTCACGTCACATGTATGTCTTAAGCCACAGTGGGGTCAAAACTGCACACTTGCTAGCCCCTGCTGAGGTAACGAAGCCTGCCAAGTTTCAAGGAGATAGGTACAGGGGCTTCTGGGTTCTGGGGCCCTGCTCCTCTGGCTGCTGACAAGCAAAACTCATGACGTGGGTGGGTGACACTGTGTCTGTGTGTGTGTGTCTGTGTGTGGTGCACCCTCACTCAACTGACACCATGGCAGAAAGCAGGGCAGTTCAAACAATGCTGCCTTTTCTGCAGTTTTTCCATCCCACCCCCAGAGCACTGGGATTGGAAGAGACCTCAGGGAAGGATGACAGTCACTGGCCAGCTACACAGTCAATATTGACAGCAGTCCTTCCCCCCACCCCCTCTTCCCTTCCCTCTCCTTACTTTAGTTCCTGTTTTCCTACAGACAAGTGCAGCTTGAGCTTCGAAACTCAAAAAGTTAAAACAATTTTAAAACATTTCGACTTGCCTCATTTCGAGGCTCTTTCAAAGCTCTGTTTTGTTTCAATTTTGCTGTTTCAAGCTTAAAACGAATTGAAAGAGCGTTGAAATGAAACTGCCGGCGAAATTTCACACAGCCTTAATTCATACTACTCACCAAGGCCTTGTCTTAATGGGAAAAGTTACTTGTACAATTCCATAAACTAGATGCACTTAGCCCAATTTAATCCTCATTGAAACTGGTTTATCTGTACTTATAATTTACAAGTGCAAGCCAAAACAATTTAAGTATGTCAGACTGGCTTCAGTGCATCTGGCCCAAAATTTGCCTTCATATATTTCTAGGGTCGGAAGGGAGCTATTAGATCATCAAGTCCAAGCCCCTGCTCTGAGCAGAAAAGAGGGCTAGGGTCAAGCAACCCCAGCCAAGTGCTTGTCTAACCTCCTCTTGAACACCTCCAAGGTAGGGGAAAGTACCACCTCCCTTGGAAGTCCATTCCATATTTTGGCAACCCTCACCATAAAGAATTTCCTCCTGATTTCCAATCTAAATCTACTCTTCAGTTTATGGCCTTTGTCTTCAGTAATCCCAGGGGGTGCTCTGGTAAACAGAGCATCCCCTATTCCCTGCTGACCTCCTCCGATGAGTTTGTAGACAGCCACAAGATCACCTCTCAGCCTTCTCTTGCAAAGGCTGAAGAGATTCAGGTTCCTCAGTCTGTCTTCATAGGATCTTACCTGCAGGCCCTCAACCATATGAGTAACCCTCCTCTGAACCCTTTCTAGGTTATCCACATCCCTCTTGAAGTGCGGCACCCAAAACTGATGCAGTACTCCATTTGCAGCCTCACCAATGCTGCCTGGAGGGGAAGAATCACCTCCCTAAACCTGCTTGTGATACACCTGCTAATAAGTAAGGCTTATTAGCAGGTGTATCACGGTTAGCCTTACTTATAACCTCATCACACTGGTGACTCATGTTCATTTTTGCATTGACTATGACTCTGAGATCCCTTTCCACAGTTGTGCTACATAGAACGGTACTTCCCAGTCTATAGGTGTATTGGTGGTTTTTTCTCCTCAGGTGCAGCAGTTTGCACTTGCACTTATCTTTGTTAAATTGCATCCTATCACCCTCTAGTGTGTTTACTATACCCCGTAGTTTGGTGTCGTCTGCGAATTTGGACAGAGTGCGTTCTACACTCTCATCCAGATTGCTGATGAAGACATTGAACGGTACTGGTCCAAGGACTGAGCCTTGGGGGACACCACTGCCCACATCTCTCCAAGTAAAACCGGCCCATCCACCACCAGTCTCCGGGTGCATCCTATGAGCCAGTTTTCCACCCACCTGACTGTGAAAAAGTCCACATCACAGCTACTAGCTTACATGTAAGAATTGAGTGTCACACCGTGTCAAAGGCCTTTTTAAAATCCAAGTAAATAACATCTACCTCTACTCCTCCATCTAAGCACTTTGTCACCTGGTCATAAAAAGAGACCAGGTTAGTCAGGAAGGATCTACCTGCTATACACCTATCCTGGTTGCCCCTTGACATTGTATTGCCCACTGGCCCCCCACAAATGTGATTCTTAATGATTTTTTCTAAGGTCTTGCCAAAAATAGAGGTAAGGCTAACCAACTTATAATTACCCGGGTCCTCCTTCCTCCCCTTCTTGAAAATAGGGACCACATTGGCCCTTTTTCTTGTTAAACTAGCACAACTTTTATTGTATGGACATGGCCTATCTTATTATCCAGCATGGATGAAGATTACAGATTCAGGTCCTGTGCACAGTGGAAAAATAGAGAAAAAAGATGAACTCTCCTTATGCTAGTATCCCAGACATTGAAAGACCTAAGTTCTACTCCTAAAGATGCCAGATTTTTCTAGGTACAAGTATTCATTAAGTGTGAGGTGCTTATACTTGGCTTTTCAGAGCAGTATGCTAATGTTATGTTCCTTAGCTTCTAAGTGGGCCTGGGCCTAATTTTCAAAACTGCAAAATACTGACAACTGCGACTGCCTCTCTATGGAATACAGGAGGGATCCTGTGGAACCTACAACATGGGATTGTGAAATGAAAGTCTGTACCACATGTAAACACACAAGGGGTTAGAATTAATATTATGTGGGTAACCTACATTCTAGCACTTCCTAGTTTTTGTTTGACTTCAAAATCTTACTCTGCTCTGAATTAAATTTTCTCTTTAAAAAGTTTCTTATAACAAAGTTGCAACCTCACCACTCATTTGAAACACACCATGGTTGTCATTAAATTGTGCTGTTCATACATCATTTCACAGATTCATCCTTTGTAACTAAAACATAATAACCTTTTCTTAGCTGTTGAGACTGCTGTAGAAGAAATGAAAGAAATACTAGAGCCTACTGTCCCTAGTCACACACTCCAAACTTCCTCATATTCATCCTTTCAGACT